CACTATATCATATCAAAACTTTATACTTGCTTTCCTAAAAGGAAATCTAATGAATCTCTTCTAATTCAATCCAAATTCCCTTCTATTAACATATACAATGCCTAGAGCTGTAAAACTATTGTTCTTCCATGTATTGTTTATTTATTTTTACCTAATTATTTATATTTATTTTTGTGATCAATGATTAACCCATTTAACAATACTTTTAGCACTCTTCACTGTGCACCATTTTACTATATTGTTGTAGTCTTATATTCTTTATAGTTACTGTCATTTAAGATCCGTTCTGCAACTTACGTCTCTCAAAGACCCTCAAAAGTTAACATTTTCCTAAACTGAAAATGTATTTCTGATAGATATTTACCTCTTCTCACAAAAGGATTTTCTTGACTTATACTGCATCTATTGACTCAAATTTTCACTTGCCACTAGCCTTGACACTCCCACTTACCCTAATGTGTATTAACATGAGATATCTGCATACTAACATGAAAATGATTATGCAGCAACCCTCCACCAACAAGAGTGTGACACTACCCTTATTGTAACTAGCATCCTCTCTAACCTTGTAGCTGTTAACCACTTCAAGATTGGTAAGATCAAACCAAACCACATCAGAATTGGGGAGGACAGATGGGAAATGTGAATGGAGGTAAGTATCTATTGGAAATACATTTTCAGTTTAGTAAAATATTAACTCCACTCACAGAAAGCTAGAATCCCACAATGATCAGGTGGAGGGCCAGTGAAAAGATGATCTCTTTTTAGGAAGCACTCAATGGAAAACCATGGAGTGGGAGAAAGTCAAGTATACTCTTTGTCCATCAGTAATGTGTCACCCAAAGGGTGGAAACAGAAGAGGGACCCTATGAAAAGTTACAGAAATAAAGGGACCCCCTTGGTGTATAGTGGCTTGGATGCAGCCACCTCTTTCATTTTTGAAAATACTTGCTTACATACATCTACCTCACCTAATGACGTGTGTATAACCAATCAAAAGCTCAGAATGTCCCATAGTGGTTTTCTCAGCCTCTGCAAATTATTTGCAAGTGGTAAGGTAAGATAAAGTTAGTAAGCATGAAAAATCATATTTTTTAGACCCAAATATAGCTTAGTTACTAAGCTTGATAGATTATAGAAAAATTATGTGGTACTGATATAGTAATTTATGATTTTTTATTTCAAAATGAATATATAAAACCAAAAAAAATTACTTTGTTTTACTTCCTCCAAGTGTGATATATTTAAAGGCTGAGCAACTTACGTCAAGCAGCAAACAAGTACTAAGTTCATAACTAGAATAGGTAATTGTTTTCCACACTTCTTTATTTACTATTCTATATTTTTAAGAAAAATAACTGAAATTTAAGAGCTTATTTGTAAATAGTAGTAATGTATATACAGATATAATGTATTATAACCAAAATGTGACTGTATTTTACAAAATATTGGTCCACTAGAACAAAGCAAAGACAGGACACTTTGTAAAGGTCAGTTTTATATTCTTGGATATGTTAATGAATGTATGTGCACCTCGTCATTGCAACTTCTGTAATGTTAGTCAGGCACAGCTGAAAGTTCAATAAGATAAAAATAATAAATATATATAGATGTATACTATTATGAGACTTAAGCTATTTAGACTAAACATTTTTGTTTTCGTGCTATAATTTGTAGTCAGTCTAGAACGAAAAACCATAAGTTATATCTATTTCCTAATTTTTTATAAAGGTTACGAGGTCAGTCAAATAGACCAAACCCATACATAGATACCATAGTGAAAATAGCAGATAAAATATAAAGTTTTTCTTAAAACAACATTTGATAATTATCTGGAGGTTATAAAAATTTTGCATGTGAAATTTGAAAATTTTCTGATACATAAAAGTATTTTCAATCTTAAAATGAAAATTACTTGCATGTTGGATAGTCAACATTCAAAAAGAAAAATGCATAAGCAAAAACATTACTT